AAGGAGTGGGTGTAAAGGAAACCTCACACCACCCTCAGTAATGGCAGGGTGTAGATTGGGATAGAATTCCTGGTACCAATGACAGATCATTGATGCCGGCAAATCGAACCTTGATGTTGTCCAAAATCTGGTATTTATCTTAAAAGTTGGGACATCGTATGAAGTAAGGGGAGCCATTGAAAGAAAGATGACACAGAAGATGAGAAGCAAGAAAACTTTACAATAGAGTGTGAGAATGTAATGTAAAAAGTAAAAAGCAAAACCTCTTTAAAAGGGACGAAAGAGGATACTTGGAAACCAAAGGATGAAACATTAAATGCGACTATTTGTTTCTGGCAAAGAGAAGATGTGCAAGGCAAAATGATCAAGTGAAGGGACACATAACTACTACGCCTAATTAGACGTGTAATGATTTGAAATAAGCGTAGGCATGTGATTGACCACACGTTAGTATGATGCTCACTTGGAATAGTAAAGCCGAGTTCGGCGTAATCACCATACACAAAGCTGAACTGAACAGATGAGTTTGGTTGAATAATTCAAATCGCTATAAAATCTCCCAATACAATTCAGCTCAGTCGACTCACACTAGCTCAGTGTACTCATCATTGCGAAGATCATTATATCTTGAAGAATCAGAAGGGCATTATAATTGATAAGAACGAATTACGGATAAACATTATCTGCTTGCCCGAATAAAAGGATTGACAAAAACGGATCCCAACATTTATCACTAACAATCCAGTTGAATATAAGATGTGCCATCTCACACTGTCATAGGGAGAGAAACCCTAGAGGAAGGTACAAACCACTATAAATCCCGTGCTAAATTCAATGGTACGCAATAAATTTCCTTGCAATTAGTTATGACTATGCTTTGAACCTATAATGACTTAAGCAATGGAGTGCCTCCAAATGGCCTGTCCTAGTCTCAGGCAATTAGTTTGGTTTGTTGGGGAAGCGATGCAACGCTCTTGTTCATTTATTCCAAATTGAACCACTAAAGTAGTAACATTGTGAAATACTTCAATCCAAGATTTACTGAAGATTTCCAAAAACTAACCTACAATCTTCCACTACCTCAATCTCTACACAACAATTAAGCTCACTAACTTATGAGCATCTTGGCATGTTTTCCAGAATAAAATGTGCTCGATGATTAATGTCTAATATTTACATTTATTATTGGGAAAGATTAACTATTTAGTTAATAAAGTTTGACAAATAAAGTAATTTATTTGAGAATTGATGTTATGCTAAGAAAAGATGAGTTGTGTTAATTTTGTAGGATAATAGCATAAATAGAAGGAAATTAAGGAAAGATGAAGCATAGTTGAGGAGGAAGCATACTGGTATGCGTGTCCGAACAGATGAAGAGTATGCGTCCAGATGCGAGTGGTAGAAAGATGAAAAGTTGATGAAGGAGTATTTTGGAAGTCGTGTCCGAACGGTAAATACATGCGTTCGGACACGTGTCAACGGTCTACCAACGCCAGATTAGGGTTTTAATGCAATTCAATCTTCTCTGGAATGAAGTTATAAATAAGAGTTGAAGACCTTGTTATCTATCTATCTTTTGCTTAAGAATTTGATTTGATTTTATTATTAGTCTTTGCTAATCATGTCTGGCTAGAAGGCTAAGTTAGGGCTAGGGGAGGATCTCTCAATGAAGCATGATAATGTTATTGACTTCTGAGCTTAATGATATGTGATGTTTTGTTAATTCAACTTTCAATTTCTTAACAAAATTTTACTCTGTAAAAATCTTTGAGTCATTGTGTCATGTACATTGATTGCTTGAATTTCTCTGCGAGTAAATAACTGGTTATTCTACATTTAAACTTTCTTTATTCTAATACTTTATACAAAAAAGAATTTATATTAATTTTTTTTAGTCAAATTCTATCTTTTTCAGGTGTATTTATATATGAAATCTTTGAAAGTAAAAAAAAAAAAAATTAATATGAAGAATTATTTTATAAAAGGTTTTACATTAGAAATGTTTTTTTATAACGAATGAAATTTTGAGAAAATAATTATGTTTACTAGATGCAACGAATTTTGACAATTATTGTCCAGTCTTTTTCTTCTTTTTTTTTTCCTTTTTTTTTCTTAAGAAAAAAGGGGGAGCAAAAAAGAGCCCCTAGATACCATTCTAGTAAACCTTCACTTGTGGGATCATGAAATCTATGACCACGTCTATTACTCCTCTCGATAATGAATCTAACTAGACTAGCATAAGTTATCCCGCTGAAAAGAGATTCAGAATTAATTACATAACAAATTAACAACTCTTTCTCCATCATTCTTGTTAACCACTAGTGTCGGCACTTGCCCCCTAGAGTACTCCAGCACTATATATATTGTAAATGCTTATTGTTTGCATATGCTTTACATTATATGCATGGCAGTAAGGAACCAAATTAGTTGATTTTTTACCATTGTTAATAATTGATATACCAGTATATAAAATACCTACCAAGTATACAAAAATATTAAAGTATAATTACTTAAAACTCATTTTTCTTGAGATGAACAAAACCAATTAAATTTTTACGACCAATTTGTGATGATATTCTCCCTTACTGCGACCAACTTTGGGAGCTAACTCCCGATGCAGAAATATAGCAAGCGAAGAAACATCTTCTTATTGATACATAACAGCAGTAAAATTGAAACATCATCAATAGGAAACTTAAAATTGTTATTGTTTTCCCCCATCAATACGAAACTTAAAAAACATCATTCATCAAGCCCATTTTGCCATCAGAGACATGCCACCAGCACCTAAAAGAACTACCATGTAGGATTTAATCTGGAGCTTAATGCTACCTTGCAACTTTGGACCCATGAAATCTGCTGCGAGAAGGTCTACCAAAGCCATGTAAATCAAAAGGCCAGCCGAAGATGCATTAAGAAGTCCAACAGTGATCAAAGATCTAGGGCTATTCTCTTTGTATGTGCTCGACAAAGCCAACCCAAGTGCAATTCCAAATGGAGTTGTTACAGAGAAGAAGAAGACCATTATAGCCTTCTTCAAGAATTTGTATTCAGCCTATTTGCAGTCAACATTGTAGAAGTAGAGATAGAGTAATGTCACAGATATATTTGAGCTACCAGAGTTAAGGATTGAAAATTAATGGGCTATTTACAATTTACACCCTTTAATTATGGGTCAAGTTTCCAAGCTCCAACGTGGTCCCAAAAGTTCTGATTGAATAAAGCGAGTCCTCAACATTTTAGTTAAGTACCAGTATGTGGTACTTGGAAAGAAGGCAAGATATAATACACCCCCAACAATGTTATTTGTCTCATCAAGGTGTTTGGGCTACATATGATACGGGAACAAACTGAATATTGATCTCTCAGTGAGCAGGACAAAAAAAACAAGTAATGATTGTTCAATTCAAGGATATCAGCTTCGAAAAAAATCGAATGAATCCAATATATTCAAGACCAATAAAATTTCATCAGAAACAAAAATGTTCTGTCAGACACCTTGTGATAAAAAAAAAAAAAAAGAATTCAAAAAAGATACCATTGTATAATAGTACTTTGGTTTAGTGCTATATTATCCAATTTACTTGGAAGTATGGGAAACAAAAGCTATGAATTGAAACTTTTGATTCTAAATTCACATTTGACCCATAATTGAAACGTATAAATTACAAATTAGCCAAAAGTTAATTGGAGGACGTGAAGTATTGTGTTACCTGGAGGATGCAACCACCGAGTCCCACTCCTTCAAACATTTGATGGAAGCAAAGGGCAGCCAATAGTCCTTTTATAGAGCAAGTATTGTTTGAGGCTCCTAGAGAAAGCCCTATGACAACCGAATGGACTATAATTCTCAATTCTAATACCTGCAGATAGTTTCTATACAGGATGAGATAGATTTTTTAATTTCAAAAGAGAATTTGTTTAAATTAGACTAGTTCTTCAACTTCCCTGTGACTTAGCAAATTCAAAACGGTTTGATAGTTTTTTTTTTAAAATAATTGTGTATATTCTTAAATAATTTTTAAAAAGTAGTGTGTCTTTTGCATTTATTTTTCCTTATAAGTATATAGGATTGTTATATGTAAATCAAACACGCATATGTATTTGTTTATACTCTATGATGCGTAGTTCACTTGTACAAAATGACAATCAAAAAGATTTTTATTTTTCTACAAAATCATTTTTTACTTAAAATCATTTCTTTGAAAAATCAGTACAAAACGTTGCACTAGTTTGTAAAGTTTTACATGAGACCTCATTTAATATTTTAAGAAGATAATAAATTTTGTTAACTATTATTAGACGTTTTATAGAGAGTTACGGTATGATTTATTTTCAATATTTTAGTACTTTTGGGATTGGGGATTAGATACAAAATTGGGTGCAATTATGAACTCTAGATCTTATAGATAAATAAATTGAATAAAATCTTAAAGAGACAACAAGAGAGTTAGAGATAAGGAGAAAGAACGGGAGCAAGGTAATGATAGTTTGAGGGAGAGAAAAATTTGGAAATAGGTGGTGAGACTAGAGGAAAAAATAATGATAAAGAATTTGAGAGAGACTGCTAATTTTAAAGTTAGAAATCGTTACTTTTAGATTTGTTTAGAAAGTTTTGTTATATTTTAGGACTTTATATATATATTTATATAATAAAGTAGAACGAAGTTTGAATCCAAAAAACAAAGAGAGGTCCAGATCGTTTTAAGACAAAACACAGACATATCCAACGGACAACGTAATCGCAATATAAAAGAAGATTCAAATCATCTCAAAAAATTTTATCTAACGATCTACAGTTAATTCTGAATTTCTTTTCCCGTCCATGAAGAAGTCTCTTATCCTAAGACTGTACTCTCTTATCTCTCATACGTCTCTATCTCTCTCATACATACTATCTTTCACGCCTCTCTTCCCACCCAAATCAGGCCTCTCTCTCCCAATCTCTCATGCCTCTATCCCCGCCTTCCAAACTCATCCCCAAAAATTTCTCACATGGAATCCATCTCTAGTTTAATCCCAATCTCAAATCTCACTCATTCACCAACACACTCCACCAGCAAAGTTGCAGCCCAGCCAATGCTTTGGACGACTACAGTAGAGAGAGAGACAAACGAAAGACATATAGAGAGAAGGAGAGGAGAAAGGCACACAGAGAAGATCCTCTGTTTCATGTAAGCTTTGGATATTCACATTTCTGTGTGTGTATGTATTATGCTTACATTTTCTATTTGAGATCGGAGTTTTTGTTGAATGGGATATTTTGTTATCCACCATGCAAGGACACAGAACACACACAAGAATTTTATTTTGATCCTTGATTCAAGGTTCTGTTGACAATTGAATTTGCCGCTATCTCGCCTCCGTCTGCTAATCTCAACTAGGTATGTTTAAGTTTTATTGTTTTCATACATATTTTTTTTTGTCAAATGTTTGAGTTTAATTCCGTATGTCTCTACAATGGTATTCATGGTGGGTTCTGTATTTTATTTACTGTTTGTCATGTGAATATATAACCAGACAATTTAAGTAGCTCTGTGTGTTTAATTCCGTATGTCTCTATAGTGGTGTTCATTGTGTGTTGTAGAACTTGATGGGTTGTAGCTTTTTTGTTCAATTTAAAAGCATTCCTTTCTGTCGCCCAAACATCCCAGCCCAAACCACTAGCCACCACGTGTTCGACAAAATTTCTCAAACACAATAACTCACCATCTCCCAATGTACTCTTAAGAAAGTCCAATGCTACAACCAAGAGAGATTTAGATGGTAAGCTTTCATTCCACTTTCTTAGCTTGCTTCATTTTTGTTTTTGATTTTTTTAGACCTACAAAGAAAATGACAGGTTCTTGAGCAATAATTTATTCTTATTGTTATTTTTTCGTCAATTGTAACCTATTGATACAAGGAGGCCATTGGTATTGACAAATTTACTTCATACTCCAAAGCAAAAGGTTAACTAACGAAGTGCAATTTTAAAAATGGATTTTGCTTTATTATGGGAGCTTTTAGCATGACAATGCCCATTTTGTTATTGCTTTTGTGTTGGGTACACTGTCATGGAATAGTCATTCTCCACGGTGTTTTGAATGATGTGTATGTCAAGAATATGAGATGTGCAAATTTGTTGTGAAAAAGCTTATGGTAATTGGGCATGAGTGTGTCGGGATCATTGAAGACGTAGGCAGTGAGGTGCAAATCTAATGCATACTAGGTGATTGACAAAACGCCGAAAAGAAGAAACAATTTTACCCACTTATTTTATTGTAAAGGATCTATGTTCTTTCTCTTGGTCTGTATTGTTTTTTTCTCTCTTTAATACCCAGTTTCTAAATTTCATGCATTTTGTTATTGCTTTTGTGTTAGGCACATTGTCATGGAAGAGTCATTCTCCACTCAAAATTTTCCTTTTTGATCAACATTTTCTAATCAAATGAAGTTTCAGTTTTTATGATTTTGTTAGAATTAGAGTTTCAATTGACTCCTATGAACTCTTCAATCTATTTAGTCAATTGGGTTTTAATCATGTGATTGCCTAAGTGCCTCATGTTTTTTATTCATTATAGGTATACACTAAAGCAGTATTGGTTTAGTAAGTGATTTATTGCATGGTGGAAGAGAATGAAGACCTCAACCCAATGTTATTTGATGGATTTATTACAATGGCAATGGAGAACCATAGAAGTTTGAGAGAAAATTTCATCTATCAGTTTAAGATTGAGAATTTCACATGGGTCTAGATTATTTGCAACTTTGTTTTCATTCAATTAAACATGTTTCTTTGGTGTACCTCAAACAAAATATGAGTATTAATTTTATTTATTGTACTATCTTAAATGTTTTAGTGGTAAGTGGTCATAAATCTATTTTATTACTATGGAAGTTTTGAACATAAGCATATTTGGGCTTAAAATATGTTGGTTTATTATAAGATATGTTGACCAGTCTTTGCTTTCTTGGGTGGATCTATGCTTGCTTGCTAGCAAATAGCATATACCATTTGCATACACATGGGAATTTGCTGATGTTTATACTCTCTTTTTGTTAGCAGATATTGGAATATTTAATTCCTATGGCAAATGGTTGACAATGCAATATTGAATCACTCACAATTTCTTGAAGCTAAAAACTTTGGCTTAATAGTAGAATGGAGTCAAATTGATGGCTTCTAATGTAGTGTTCATTTTTTTTCTGTCAACTCTCTGTCTCTCACCACCAAGGTGTTATAATTTTTCTAATTTTACATGTTAAAACATTTATAGATTCAATTAGATTTTTCTATAGTGTTTTTATTTGTGCTTTATATTATATATATAGATTTCCTCTTTAAAGACAAAAATTGAGTTATGAGGGTGTTTGATCTTTAACACTTTTGACTTGCTTGGCATACAACAGCTACTGGTGCAGGTTTCATTGCACGAGACATATCATTCGAGAACTGGGCTGGACCAAGCAAGCACCAAGTAGTAATAACTCAGTATATGTTTGTCTTCATAATAACTCAGTACATGTTTTCAATTGCTTTATATTCTTTTTAAAATTTAGTTGCTATACATTGTTTTTCTCAGTTTGGTGAACTTGGGAAGTTACTGATCTGTATGTAATCATGTGCATATTTAGAAACTGGATTTGTGATTTTTTTGTTGTAAACTTAATTATGTAAATATGTTGAATAGATAGTTTTGGGTTTGGGTTTGAGATACTTATTAATTTCTGGTTTTGCCCTTGAGTGAATACTATGGTTGTTGATTCAATTTTCTCTAATATATTGATGCAGATACTGTTTCATACGTGACATTGGGGTAATTACGATTCTTAACTCGAGATTTCATTTGCGAAATCAACCAATTCTCTCTCTCTCACTGCTACTCTATTTTGTTGAACAATATTTCGGATTTGTTTAATAGTCTAATAATCCAAGTTTGTTTAATATTCATGATTTTTAGTATTGTTTCATCTACTTTCACTAAAGATTTGTTTATGTTATTGATTTGATTATTGTCAAATTTATTTACTATCACTAAAATCCGTTTTAATAGTTTAATGTCCAATGTCAATGCTTTTTCTGTATGTAGACATAATAAATTAGGAGAATATTTGCACATTTATATTATCCTGATGTATTTGTATATGTTTTGTTGTTTTGAAGAATTTTTTGTTCATTTTTTACAAGTAACGCAGTGCCTTCAGGCACGGACAATTACTAGTATATATATAAGGTATTATATAGACATGTGAAAAATATTGTTACATTTTAGAACTTTTTATAAAGTTTTAGATAGATTTCTGAAATATATTGAGCCTTATACGGACATGATTCATCATCTTTGAAGGATTTTTAGGATGTTCAACATTGTAGAATTATCTATTATTTTATTTCCATATAATTATCATGCATTAGATTTTTTTTAATTCCTTAATTATGATAATTAGATTGCATCGAAAGGTAAAATACATATGTTGCCCAAACTAGGTGTAATTTAATTTTTAATTAATAAAATTTTCTCGTACCATCGAAATTCGCTAAAAAAAACTTGGTCTATTTAAAAAAGTCTCAAAACATGAAGTTGACCTAATAGCTAAAAATTAAATTAGGGCTCTAGGAGACTATTTTAATGGTTAGACTTGTTATGTCTCCTCCCATTCAAATGATCGAAGTATTTGTGTATCTTGTAACAATTGTAGTATCTGTTTGGACCTCATTATGGGGTCTTCATCTATGGAACCGATTAAGTGAGACAAATTAATTAATGGATGACTTATAAGGATTACAGGTAATATGCGTTACTCCATATTTTATTTATCAAAAATAATGCGTGGACCGTTACAAGAGATATTGTCATAGTAAAGATGTTCAATGTTATAACATGATGTCACATAATTTTTATTTTTAGTAATTTTTGCATTTAATATATAATAAACATTCGATATGTGCTATTTTATACTTATACTATATGAGTGCAATTGTTCAATAGTAAAATTCATATGAATTGAAAATATACATAGATTATAATGGCTAAGTACATTTTTTTAACAATCAGATTTGCACTTTTATTTGTCTCTTCATTCTTTGCTTGAACCGCACTTTTTGAAACATAATATATTATTTCATTACTATTTTTATGTTCTTCTTATTTGTTTGTATGTTCTTCATAAAAATTGTAGTATTAAATTATCGACTATCAGTATATATTCATAATTTTTTGTTATCTTGTTATTGAATTATTTTATTATTTTTTAATTTTTTATGATCTATAACTTGTTTATATATGTAATGCTCATCTATTGTTTTATTGTGTTTTATTTTCTCTGATTATAATGTTATCAATTTTTTTTTATATTAATTAATTTTTATTGTGGATCCTTTATGAAAATGAACAATTTAATTAGTTAGTATTTTTGTATTGAAATGAGAACAAAATCGAGTTTGAGATAAATAGAAAATGTGTTTGGTTTATTTTAATTTGTGAAAGAGAGAGATACTTATTATATTTTTTTATTAAAGTGTCAACTTTTTTTTTGTCCTTTAATAAATATGTATGTGTAATGTACATTTGTAAGATGAAGCGCACTTTTAAACCTAAATTTTAAATTTTATTTTGACTTAATCTTTTAAAAGTTTTTTTTGTTAAATTAAATTATAATGAGTTTTAATTTTTGATCTATACTAAATTATTGAACTTAAAAATTTGAGGCATTTTTTATGTGTGGGCCTAAAAGCCCATGCTTTTTCCACTCCACTGTTGAGCCGGCCATGGGCTCTTGGGAGATTTTCTTGGTTGTGCTCAGCAAGTTCTGGTGCTTCTATAAATAGAATTTTGTGACATCATGTGGCTGGATTAAACTAAAGTGACATAAAAAAGATATAAATGGGGACTGGCACTCTCTAGAATTTTTAGATTTACAAGTAGCTCGTACGTACAACTGTACAAGGCCATGGTACGGTATATGTGGCATGCGTTCCTAACGCTCAAGGAGGAGCAAATATTCATTACAATAGTGATATCACGTGACAAAGTGACGTAGTATTATCAATTAATAGTACTAAAACAAATAAGCACATGGAACCTACAAAAATCAATAACTAACTTCTCATGTAAACAAATAACTTCTCACTCTCCTACCATGTAAGTTAAAATAGGATTTATCTTTTCTATTTAAAATTTTATTATTAGTAGGCGATACCATGTCATCGATGGTAAAATGATATCACCGTTGCATTCAATATTTACTCCTCAAAGGAAGTGTGTTTTTGGCTATCACATATGGAATGAAGTGTGTGTAGCTGGGGGCAAGAACGTGCTTAACAAAAGTTCTCTGCTATGACTATTAATAAAATAGAGAAAATTACACCCAGTTTCTTAAAGTTTGTTAATTAATCACTCAGATTTTCTGATATTTAAAATATTATACACAGACCCTTGACATTTGTATGCGCGTAACATTTATACCTCTGCTGTAAATATATCCGTTAATAAATTAAACTTAGACTCCCTAAAGTTTATAGATATATAATATTTAGACCACTTAAGTTTAAAATATTATACTTAGATAAAAAATACTTCAATTAAAGATAGAATAACATATATTTTAACAAGGGATCTAAGTCATTCATAATAGAACATGAGTTTTACATCCAAAATTCATGTTCTATTGTGTCATTTATTGAAATAAAATCAAATATAAAAATATAATTTTTTTAAAAAAAATTATAG